ATGCTTCCCTTGGATAGAGAAGTACTGTTCCCCAGACATTCTTTTGACCCAGCCCCGTGGTGGCAGAGGGGTTTGCTGGTACCTCCAAAGGGGTGGGAGAGCTGGCTGGCCTCTGTTGGCATCAGTCATCCTATAGCCAAGTGTAGCAGCTGAGATTGTGGTTTCCAGCCTTGGGCAAGGAGCTGTGGTCTGTGTGCAGGCAGGCACAGCGTGATTGCCAGTGCGTAACCTTTCACATCCACCAAATCTATTGTTTAGCTGTTCTTTTAGTTCTGTGTTAATCTGTTTTTGGAGTAAGAAAAGTGTAGTCACAAACAAAGAGTACAGAATTGGGAACATATAAAATTCCCAAAAGAAGAAGAAACTTGACAGCAAGATCCTTACCGCCCCTTCCTCCAAACTCTTGTACATTGAAACCTTGTGTTTTGGGTAAACATGTTCCACTTGCCCAAGGAATGAGTTTCTGAGGCACCTTCTGCACAGTGAAACAGCCATCAGAGCACTAACTCATTTTGGACAGAAGTGAATCCGGAATGCACATCTGGAAGGGCCTTATCCCATCCTCCTGACCAGACTGTTTATCAGTACTGAAAGGTTCTTGGCTTCAGTGTTTCTCAATAACACCTCTGAATGCCATGGGGCCAGATCCTGGTGCCCAGGCATAATGCAAGTGAAAGGAGAGAGAGTAACGTAACCCCCACAGCACAGGCCAGGCAAGCTGGGACAGGGCGGAGGGGCAGCCACCACAGTCAAGGTGCTTTCAGTAGCTAGCCTAGCCCAGACTCGCCTCCTCGCAGTTACAGAACCCGTTAGCACCTGACAGTGGCTGTGTATGTCCCCTTTTCACCCTAACCCTTCCCCGGCGCAGGAGCATACTTTGGGGTTGCAGCGCGTCACGCATAGCTTAGAAGGATTTGTATGTCAGCACGAAACTGAATCTGCCTCAGCCCTCAGGTAGCCTCTCCCTTCCCTCCTCTTCCTCTTTGCACAGACTTACGTGGTTAAGCTGGATCCCATTCCCTGTGATCGGGAACGTGGGAACTTCCTCACTTCATCCTCTGGTGGGAGACTCAGAAGACACAAGAAGGGGCAGATCTGGCTTCCCGTTTTCCCCGAAGTGTTTGTGAGCAGAAACAATAACCCTGTAGAGATACAGGTAGTGATAATATGTTGCTCTCCTTGAAACGGTAGGGCAGGACAGGGAAATTGCTAGAAAAAATTTTGTCATCCCAGCGAAAGGTGGCTCCGCTCCACTCCTTCCTCACAGAGCTGGAGAGGATTTGCCTCACAGAGCAGTTCCTCTTCTATGGAAATGTTTTTTTTGTCAAATCAGAAACGTCTGAGTTTTGCTGGACTTCTTGTCTGGAGAGACTGCGCAGGGATGCCAGAGTATCAGAGGCAAAACGAGGGGATAAGAAATCGGGGTAGCACCATGCCTGTTGCGGGGGCTCTCCTGTGGGTGCAGGAGAAGTCCTTTCTTCTTCAGAAGCAGTGTCATCGTTTGGGTCAGGAGTGATCCGGAGATCATTTCCTGTTACCCTTGGTTTGGTTTGCATCAGGGAGTGGTCTTGGACTGTGCTCCCCAGATGGCTGTCGGGTGGCACGGCAGCGGGGCTGCCCCGACGGCTTTCAGGCCATCGCTCCACACGAGCGGCCGCCAGAGAAAATTGCATGTGATGCCCTTCTACCTTTATGCATTCCTATACAAGAAATTAATGTGGCCAGCACTAGTTAAAGGGCTCAACCTCCCACATTCTGTATGCAAGCAGAAATATTCTTGTTGTCTGTGGGACTTGCAGTCATTTCGGGTTTACGTTTGTGTGCTACTGGTCATAGGTGGAAACTTGGTGATGAAACTACCTCCCCAAAAGAGGACGTATCAGTTTCTGTGTTTCCAGCGGTGGATCCGATGACTTTTTGCAAGAACAGAGCTGAACAAAAATTTACTAATGAGCTAAAAGAGGGTATTAGAGCTTAGAAAAACATACAAAAGCAATGGGTGTGTACTTTTAGAAGGAATCTGCGCTGTATCTGTAAGGCAACCTCTTATACTTCAAATGATGTAGACTGCAAGGTACCACCAGAGGCATTTATTGTGAAAGTGACAGTCCCCAGAACTTTGCATATATATTTTTTTATGAGTGTCACATGACATGAATGTATGAATTCCTCCTAACTCTTGGTGAGCATCAAAGGCAAGTGTGAGAGCAGTGAGGCAAGAAAGATGAAGATCTAACAAGATTAATTTGAATGCAAGACAAAATGCATTTGTTTTAAAAAAAACCCAACCACCTTGAAATAGGTTTCTCTTGGAATGCTGCTAAACATGACTTTATGAGTAATGCATGTTTGTCTGCTTGTCTGTTTAAAACATACGGCTTTTTGTTGCTTGGGAGCTTCATTTGGGTGGTTAATGTGTACATGACAAGCTTCCTACAGGAGTAGGTGCAAATACAATAAACATTTGGAAAGGGGATGGTCTTTGGTCTTGAGTGGAGGAGCGTGAAGAAATAGGCAGCTCCCCTTTACACTTCTCTGCATTATAAGCCTTGGTAAGCAATATAATGTTCTTGCTTTCTAGGAAGCAAAGAAAAAGTTTAGTTACTCTTACACTCAACTGCTATACATAGTTTTAACCTAGGGTCCATCTGGAGGAGGCTGGATTTGGTGAAAAGGTTGATTTCACCCTTTCATGCTTCCTAATGCTCCAGTAAGCCTAGTGGGACTAACAGAGTCTTCTGCTCTTCCACATTACAGGTGTAGATTGTGATTTTTTTTTCATACATTTTGTTTTAAAAATGTGTGCCAGTTGGATGACTGCTGTGGTGAACTGAAACAAGTCCCGCTGTGGCTGGCCTGCCCAATTCAGTGAAATATTTAGTGAGGAAGGTTATTCATTCAGCAGAACTGAGCAGTCTTCCCCCTCATGCTGTTTATAATTGAAAATGATTTCTGGGTGAGTGAGTTAATTATTTCCTGCTGTCTCACTACCCTCTACCTATTCTAAAACTGTGTATTGACCTTCAGGAATAGCTGAATTTCAGCCCTGTGGTTCCTAGCATATGCTGGTTATTTTGGTTGGGGTGAATATTTACTGTTTCTCCTAGGAGGTTCAGACATAAATAAAAGTTTAGAGGACCTCCGGGTAAATATGTTCATGGTTCAGCACTTTAATGTGTCAATTAGCTACTAACAGTGTCAATAAATTGGATCTGTCAAAAAGAATAGCTTCCTTGCCAGTCTTCATCTCCCGCTTTACCTGTGTGCTACAAGAAATACATTACACACCACCGAAAGCAGTAAAAGCCAACTTTTCCATGCCTATAGCAAAAATTAACAAAGCAAGACTGCTTTCTTCAGACTTGGGTCTTGCCCAAATGACTCTCTTATTTTCCAACATGCAAGTTGTATGACAGTTATTTCAGTGACTATTGTATTTCTTTAGCAGGTGGGCTACAGAAGCATGTTGCAAATGAAAGAAGGCTGTATGCATGCCAACAGATGTAGATAAATGCCAGCAGGTTGCATTTGCAGACCTGTGGCACAGCACCTAAGTTCGGTAGGACTGATAAAATGGGGTGTTACATGCTACAAATTGCTTCTTGTGTGCTGCCTGTTGCACAAAGCTGTGAATCAACGGGCTTTTTTAAAACATTGTTCAAACACAGAGCGGTCATCCTGGAGCTGGTATACCTCCACCAGCGGCTAAAGCGGGTGGCAGTAGGGAGAGTGGAAGGTGGCCAAGCGTCAGTGGTAGCCATCTGCAGGTCAAGGACCTCCCAGCCAGACACAGATTTCTCCTTACTGAATGCATCCAGTCTCTTTTTGAATCTCTGTAAACCTTTAACACCCACATAACCTGTGGAAAGGAGTTCCACAACTTCGTTACATGAACAAGTGCACTTTTTGTTTTGAATCTCCTGCCTTCTGTTTTCATTAGATGTCCTTTAGTTGCTGTTTTAATACATTCATTTACTATACATTAAAGACTTCTATGCAGGGTGGTTTTTTGTTGTTTATTTGCTGTTACATAAAATTTGGTGTAATAGGCAATGAAAAGATGGTTTAGCTCTCAACGCTTCCACCCGCTGGAGATCAAAGTGGAAAGAACGAATACCCTAATAGTGGAAGTGCATTTTTATTTTAAATGAGATGCAACAACAGGTTATAAAGAAAAACATCTTGTGATGGTTATTCAGCTGTGTAAGATTGCAGTGTTCCACCCGGTAAACAGCGATATGAGATTACCACAGTCTTTCAATTACAAGATATTCTCGGAAGGGAGAAGAGGCCAAGCAACCCATCGTCCTGCTGAAAGGCCCTGCCCCTGGGAGGTCCAGCTCTGAGCAGCTTCAGCCAGCACAGCAAAATTGTGTGTGGCTAAAAGCCAGCTGCAAGCCGTTTGTCCAGGCTTAATTATGGCAGTGATTCGTTTTATCTCAAAGGGCTACTGCTGCCTATCAAGCTGAGCACGCGTTTGAGTTCCTTGCAGAATGAGGGCCTTCTTGGCGGATCCAGATCAAATCAGTGGGATATCCAGGCAGGGCCAGGACCCCAGCCGGGGTCAGTGCTGCCAACCTGCTGCCAGTTGTAGTGCATCTGCGACACACACGCGCAACAAGACTGGTGTGTGAGACTTGCTTTGCGTGCACAGAGTGGCTCTGCAACCTGCGACAGCCGCTGTGTGGACTACATAGAGTTGCTCTTCAGAACCTCACGGGTACAACCTCTTGCAGATACTGTACCCAATGCCACGGGATTATTTTTTGCAGCCCTGAATGCCATAGTATGTTTCTTATGAGCTGGGCTCAGGTGATGATGCCCTGTGAAGAGCATACATCACCTAGAAGAATACACGCAGTGGTAAGGTGACATTACTCCAGCCAAGGTCTGATTTGGTTGCGATAGTGAATGCCTAATGCTGCACAGAGCAGGAGGAACTACAGCGAAACCCATTGTGGTCCCAGTTCTCACGTTAGCCTTACTCTTTCTCACCTCAGGTTACATCCAAGCCTGCAGAGGACTGATGATCTCCGCTGTCTGCCTGGGCTTCTTCGGTGCCATTTTTGGACTGGTTGGGATGAAGTGTACAAAAGTCGGAGGCTCTGATCAGACTAAAGCAAAAATAGCTTGTTTAGCAGGACTGATCTTCATACTCTCTGGTAAATATACCTTATTTCTCTTAAGTTTGCATATTTGAAGTCATACCAGAACTGCTTCTTTTCTGCAGAAATCTGCGCACAATTCTCCATGACTTCAATGGCTTCAGGGTCAGCCCCAAAGCTCTTCTGCTGGCTCCACTGAATGGTTTGTCTTATGCTTTTCAGGGTTGTGCTCTATGACTAGTTGTTCCCTGTATGCAAACAGGATTACGTCTGAGTTCTTTGATCCTTCTTTTGTTGCACAAAAGTAAGTACTTTCCTATACCCATAAATCTTTCAAAGAAGTAGACCTTAAGTTTCATACTGTGCACCACAGCCCATTTAGACAGAAAGCAGATGCTTCTCCTGTTGGGCAGAGAAGGAGAGTGGGCTGCGGTTTTATTTAATCATATTTTCTAACTGGAGTAACCGTGTGCTGAAATTTAATGAATGAACACCTTCCTGTACAGTGATTGCTCTGTAATCTTTGTGCCCAGGCTTATTGCGGCTCGGCAGGGTTCTGTCCCGCTTGCCACAGAGCCAGTGGGGTTAATCAGGAGCAAAGCTTGCATTTATGTCAGAGATGCAGCAAAAAGATCGCACAAGACAGAGGCGCTCATTAGATGCATCATTCAGCAGGAAAGGAAGAAAATTATTTCCTTGAGCTTTTGATAGAAGGTGGTTTCCACGAAGGTGTCGAGCACTGCGCAATCTTGACTCCTCCTGAAGAGAGGTTTCTGCAGGCTCTGTGGACTTTTTGCTGACAGATTTTCAAATCCAGATTATTGAAATTTGGGTCATAAACCTTATCATAACCTGCGATTTTATAAGCGCTAACATAAATGCTTTGACTATACTTGTAATTTAATTTAAGGGAGCGAGTGTTTATAGAATTGCAGGATCCACACCAGAAATAATGAGCATCCCTAAAGACTCCCTCTAAAGCGGTGCAAGTTCTCAGGACCTACAAAGGCAGCAGTTCACGAACTAGTGCTTGGATTTTGGATTCACATCTTAACTACCAAGTCTGAAAACGTTGGTTGTAAATTATAGCATCATAGACATTCCTGTTTTGGCTTCTTACATAATGTAATGTTATCTTTAAAGGCAAGGATTTCAAAGTTTTCTCGGTGGTGATTCCAGGATATGTCAAGCATTGGGTATACATTTCCCTGAGACCCAAGTAAGGGCTCAGTAAGGAACCCTGAGCCTTTCCGTTTCACCTTGATAGAAGGAAAATGGTCTGAATAAATAACATTAACTGGATCCATGTTTGCAGTAGGGCTGACACTGCTCCTCCTGTCTTGAAGACAAGTTCCTATTAGTTTCCTGCATAGTTCTGCTATAGTTTCTGCTTGTTTGATACGGTGTGGACAGGATCCAAAGGCCTCCAAAAGAAACAAGGATGTGAGGTGAAGAAAATGGAGCCTGGCTATATAGCCAGAAGTTAATTATTCATCAGGCTTACTGTTCTTAATGAAAAATACCATGGTTGTTGCCAGAAGTCCCTTTCCTACACTGTATTCCTACACTCTTCTGCTGCAAAAGAGCAGGCAGACCTCACAGCTGAGTTTTACTGTGAGGGAATGAGAAATCCAGTTTAAATATCAAAATAGAGGTAGTAAAACATCCTCTGCAGAAATTACCTTTTTCCTGAACAACCAGCATAGCTCAGCTGTGGGCACACATAATCACGACTGCAAAGATAAAGGCAGAGAGGAAAGCCAGAAGTTGTAATTTGAGTTGTGCACAGTGTATGTAGCTCATGCAATGACCTTGTGTCAGATTAAGCTAATGGTGGCATTCGACTCCTTTCTCTCTCAACCAATGTAAAATAGGTTGGAGTAATGTATTTCGTTGTCGTCTGTGAACTCTTACTTCGATATGCATTGCAGAAGCATTTAATATGCTTTGCTCGTATATTGTGGAAATTTGGCATTGGCTTTTCACTGGGAGAGGGTTTCAACCATTCACCTTTTACTGCACATTTCTCTCCTGAAGTTATTCTGGCAGTGTCAAAGACACGCTTTAGATACTGTTAGTGGAAAACAAATGACACAAGATGTTTAGCATCATCTCAGCTGTCGGAATTTCCCTCCAGCCTTCTGCATTTGGAAGAGGCACCCTGAGTATGTATGGGTGCAGGAGGAATCAGAGACCTGCCTGAAGCTGTTGCCCAAAAGACTTCTGGTTTGAATTATGTACCTAAGTGAGGAATGACAGGCACCATGGGAACACCCTAAAACCTGCCTTACTTAGAAAGAAATCTTAGGCTGGACTTTAAGTCCCAATGTGATAGTTTGCATTGCCAATTTAAAACAGCTCCAGAGAAGTTGCTTGACCCTACATAATAATATGGGTAGAATCTTGGGGACAGCACAGGACGCCTTGGTGCTTGCAGCCAAGATGGATTTCATTTTTCTTCAGATACCTCTAACGGGAAAATCTGTGCTTCTGTTTTGCTGTCTTGCTAACGTTGCTCCCACAACTTCTCTTAGGAAACTATTTTGTCACTTTACTACTTCTAATTAAAAAAAAAAACCCTCTTATAGTCTTTATCCTTTTTGTCTCTTGCCACAGTTTGAACTCCATCGTCATGATCATTCTTACTGATGAATAGGGTTAGTTTATCCAAATTATCTGACTAACTTCCCATTCTCTTTTATAGAGAATTGTTGCCCTTTGTCTTTCTTGTCTCTGAATTGATTGTGCACAGTTCACACGGGCCCTCTTTCCACCGTCCTGCTGTTACATTTGAATCTATTTTTCATTTTCCAAGAATCTTAAGAATTAGACATTCAAAATGTGTATTTCCCTTGGGTAGTTGTGCTGATTCAGTAAGTAGGTAGGTATGTCCTTTACATATGCTGACATCCAGCTGGCTAATGAGGCTTCCACTGGTTTGCTTGGAAGTTTACTTCACGGTCCCAATGTATGTAACTACTAGAATATTTTTCTTCTATCTATACTGATATTGTACTTTCTTTCTTTCTTTCACTGAATTCTGCCTCCCTGGATTACAGCAAAAAATCTGCTTTTAGCCTGCTTGGTCAGCGTAGTTGAATGTGGCTTTCAGTTCTCTGCAGTGGAATTCTCATAGTCCTCAGTGGTCACCACCTTTAAGCCTCTTCATCAATGTTGCGCTCCTCCCTGAGCTACCAGCGATCTCCAAGTGATCTCTAATCAGATTGATTTCACTGATCGGAGACAGTGGATACGCAGCCACAGACTTCGGAGAGCGGCTGCTTTGGTTCTTGCAACAAAGAATTATGACAAGAGAAGAGTGTGTTTCCCGCAAAGATTTTAATGATAAAGTGGGAAGGGAAAAACAGCAAGTGCAGAAATTTCTTCTAAAAAAGCCTATCTCCTTTTTTTTCCATTTTTTCTGGAGGTACCATTGTATGTAAGGGGTTTTTCATATGGTAAGGTTTTTTTACATATTGCATTTTGATGGGAGTTTAGGGTTGCCTTCTTAAATGCTGAAAAGATGGATTGGATAAAATCCAGGGAGCCATACACAGGTTGATACACAACTGAAAATTTAAAGTTTTCCTCATAAGCACCAGTGTAAATCAGAAAGTTTTTTGATCTGTTTAAAGATGTGGAGGAAAGACCAGTTAGGCCATCTCTGCAACTTATTAACCTAGCAGCATGGCAGTCACCCCAGAAGGGTCCATATATGCAATTGTTTATACATGTTATAGTAACAAATGTTGCTTAAAAAGTAACAATCAGATTACAGTTAACAATTAAATCGGTAACAATCAAAAAGTAAAAAGACAAACAATCACAAGAACAAAGGCTGGACCCCATGTCTTCTTTCCCAACTAGTAGGCAACAGTCAGGTAACCCTTTTCTACCCAGTTAAACCCAATGTAATCTTGATTTCTTTATACAGCTGAAGAGCTTCAGGAGGGGAGATGGCAATTGGTCACCTTATCCCTCTCACATTAGCCTCTGGCCAACTATTTAATGTTGTTAGATGGAAATGTGGAAACAAGCTTGTGTTTCCCACTTTCTAGGCAAATGGTGTTGGCAAGTAAGTTGTTACAGCGACAGCCTTCCTGGGTCTTGGTCCAGCTGTGTTCTCCAGCACAGCGGTGGTCTGTGCCGACTTTTGTGGGGAGCCTAACCCTGGTCCATGTACCTTAGATGTGCTCTGGCAGTACCTGCGGGGATGGAGGGATCCCCAGGATGGGGTTTACCTCATATTGGAGTTAGTCACTTTGATCTGCCTTTACAACTCGCTAAAAATATGCCTTGAGGGTGTTTTAGAAGTGTACTTTGTGTGTATTTCTTGCGTGTTGACTATAACGGGATCCTAGGTGATGAGCTCTGATGTAGATATTTGCTTCTAATCAGGAAACCCCCAGACCTTGAACAGACAGAAATCTGCTCAAGTCTTGTGAAAACCGTAGCACATGGTTGGAAAATGTGAGCATGGTTAGAATTAAAGCTTTACAGGTTTGGCAGATTTTGAAGTCAAATGGGGCTGGGTGCAGAGTTTTCCAGGGTAACAGGCAGCTGAGCTGTGGTTTCCGGCAGTTTAATTTGGGAGTTGGGTGCCTAAGTCCCACACTGGGTATGGAGAACGTTTGGGGGAATCTGATCCTTTTTTAGCAAGGGATGATAAATAAAAACTCTGCTTGGATAACGTGAATGGAAAATGAAAAAGAAACCTAGAAGTTAGAGCACTAGTGGGGCCATGAAGAGTCAGGTGCAAGTCCTCACAAAGTGTCCTACCTCTGAGCTCCAATGTCTCCGTCTCTGTCTGGCAGTGAGTCCCCGAGTCAGAAATGACTTGAACCTGGGTGTCCATAGCATCTAGCACTGATATCCTAAGTGTGGCTTTTTCTCCTCATGTGACTCTCTTTAAGCCTGTGCTTGACCTCTGATTAGAGTCTCAAGAAAACATGGAAAAGTGATTTTTTTTCTTCTCCAGCCAGTGTTCACCCTCTTGTGACCTATTATAGAAGTCGCTATATCATTTTCTGGGTGTCTGAGCTCACAGGCAATTTTTGAGTGTTTTCGCAGCGTCATCTTTGTAAAGATACAAGTTCTGTAGAACAGCTTACAGGTGTTTTCAGTTATGTATTTCAGCTAATGTGAAATTAGGATCTGTTCACATGGAAATGTTCAGAACTAGCTAAAAAGTGTGTGACTGCACAGTCTTTCAGTTGCACAGGCAGGCTGTCAAGCAGAGGCTTTCATTCCTCACCAGAGCTTACAAGAAAAAAAAAAAATCTTCCTAACAAAGGCTTGAACAGCACAGCCACCTGACCGATGACTACGGCTGGGTGGGGGGGCAGGGGCCCGTGTTTTCAGTGCAGGATCCTAGGAGTCCAGAGGAGATCAAGGTTTCCTCTAGGAGGAACTGGAGCAAAGAAGAAGGAGCAAGAGACACACTGTCCTAATAGGGAGGAGTGAGAGACTCTGGAGACTGCTGGGCCTGAGGTCTAATGCAGGTCATCCTGAAAGCGTTTTAAAGAGCAGTACCTCAGGTAAAGAGCTGAGGAATGGAGCAAGCCATGGCTTGCTGCTCATCTTGAAGCTCCAGAGAACATGGGTGCTAAGCTCGAGCAGGGGAGGGAAAAGAATCTCTTCTTTTCCTTCATTTACTATTGTTGCATTAGAAACCTGGACTTACCCGTGTGTGATAATGCTCCTAAAGCACCACCATCTCCTCTCAGCGTCAAACTGAACAGTTTCTGGCTGCAAACAATTTGCGACTGCCCCGAGCGGCACAGGGCACCATTGCTGGTGACGTGGAACAGTGTCCAAGGGCTCGGAGGGGAGCAGTGTCTTCCAGCCTGAATCCAGCCATACGGACTAGAGAAGCAGAAAGTCGCGGGCACATGCATGTGTGCACACATCTACATCTGCATATGCGTGCATATACGGACATATCTGTATATGCATATATCAGATACATCTGTATATGCATATATTGCACGTTTGTGTATATATATGTATATTGCATATGCATATTATATATATGTACAAAACCCTCATGTTTTAAGCAGGCTGGAGCGTGGCTAGAGAGGGAGAGAGGTCCTGGGAGCCAGAGGGGAGAGTTAGGGAGAGGTGTAGGCAGCAGCTCTAGTTGCCGGCTCAGCAAAAGCCCCAGTCCAGCTTGGGAGCCAAGGGGACCCTGGAATGGTCCAAGGGGACAGGAGCTGTGTGCTGGAAAACGGGCCAAAGAATCATGTAACCCCACAGCCAAGCAATCCAGGAGGAGATGGGGGAAAAGCCAGGCACGCCGGCTGGCTGCGCGGGGACGTAAGCATTGCCTAAGTGTACTGCAGGGACACAGTTTGCCTCCCAAGTAAGAGGGAAATAACGAAAAGAATGTGGGTTAACGGCAGAGCTGCTGATTTTGCGATGAATAATGTGTATGTCAATGGATGGTAATTCAGGAAAAAATAAAATTTAGTTTTTATTCTGAAAAAAGCCTGTTAAATCCATGCTCTCTTTTGTTAAACCCATTTATTAACTTCCTGTAGGTATGAATTAGGAGCAGCTTTGTTCATTGGATGGGCTGGAGCTTCACTCTGCATAATTGGTGGCAGTATATTCTGCTTCTCAATAGCTGAAAACAGTAATTCTCCAAGGTAAAACACAAGTTGTACTTATTGAAAGAAATCAGTACTAGTGCATTTGTACCCGCTATATGTATGCAGTTTGATTACTTTTCCAAAATACTTTGTAGTGAAGTTAAGAAAAAGATTGTGTGGATGAGAGAAAATAATGGCATTTAAGAATAATACTCTGTCCATCATTAATGTAATTAAGAAAAGCTATTGACTCAGAACAAATACTTGTGTTATGTATACTTCATAAATTTACTACAGCTGGAAAAAACCATATTCACTGATGCAGGAAAAGTGGTCAGGTCATTTTACAGGTGTGAATAGACAAGTTTCTTTAATCCCAAATCATCAGATCAAAAGTCAGAGACGTGAAGGACAGCGGTGGTGGCAGTGGGACCTCCAGCAGCAGAAGAGGGGTGATAACGAACGGGTGCAGCTGGAGGGAGTAACTATTCACCTAGGACTTGCCACAACCTAAATATTTCATGACTGGGCCCTAATTTACTTAGCTGTGAACAAGGAATACGCTTTTATAGAAAAGCGAATTGCAAAGAGAGGTGCTGGAGGGGGAATGTCAAACCAGAATGAGACCACACAAGGAAGGAAGGTGTCCCCCCACCCCCTCCCCTAAAATTTATAGGTACATTCCTATACGTTTCTTCTAGTTTTATATTACTATAATGCTTGGATGCAGAGATGTTACCTGTCTGTGGAATGAGCTGTAACTGGTTGATTTTCTTTTCTTTACAGGAGGGGTTATGCATATAATGGAGCCACATCTGTGATGTCTTCTCGTACAAAGGTCCACAACAGCGTCCCAGACAAAACCCCACCAAAGCACTTTGACAAGAATGCTTATGTTTAATTGTACTGTTGGAAGATTCAAAGCATTTTAAAAATGAGTTTGTATGTTTCATTCAGAGTGATTTCTCCCCCTACCCCAACGTACTTACCACTAAGACAATGACTTTTTAAAACATTAAATTGCAGCTTTTTACATATTGATGTAAATTTTATTATATAATATTTTAAGATTGATGTTGGTATTGTAAAGTTTATACCTGGAAATCATGAACTGATGTTGCTTTCTTGAAAAAAATAAATGAGGTATTTAACAATTCAGTATGTCAATGGCTTATGGGAATGGCATCACACACATCATATTGACTGCAGGCATCACTGCAACTGTTTCTGAAATGGGTTCAGTACTGGACAAAACAGCCATCCTCTGTGCAGGTTAACATGTAAAATATCTCACCACTGATTAGCAGTGACATTGGAATTGCAGAGCACATCATAACTGCAGCACCAGACGACACCAGTCAGTGGGAATCAGCAGGCTTTTATCTTCCTCATCACATTGGTGGGGTGGAAGAACGTGCAACCTTGTCAATTCTGTGCCATAGTAATAATAAGAGATTGGGTGAAGTGAAAATAAGTATGGGATTTGGGGAGGCAGGAGCAGGTACAAAGAAGAGCCAGGGCCAGTTGTTACAGGAACAGTCACTAGAGAGGGTCTTGCACGGCCTAAGAAGAAAGCACGCACAAGAAGAATGCATGCCTGATCGTGAGGTTTCATGTGCATGGCGGGCAGAGCAAAGGTTGAGGGAGGCTACAGCCCGTGGGGAGTTTTGTGGTGGGCGAGACAAGGCTCGGAGACAGTTCTTGCATTCTGCATTTGCTTTGTGCCACTGGGCTCCCGCCCTGCCTCAGCACTCACCCGGGCTGGCGTCAAGTCACTTCCAGGGCATTGGTTTGGTTCTCTCCTGCTGGGCAGGGCGCTGGGACACCTTCGGCTCCAGAATGGCTCCGAGCCACTGGGTTACAGAAGGGAAGGAAAAACCCCAGGCAATACCAGCTGGCCTGCTCCGCCAGTGACATTCCTGAAGGGCTGACCAAATACAATCGGGCAATAATAGATAATCCTGAATTAGTTACAACAGTTCAAAAATTCAGCCAGTACTTTTTTTACCAGTCCATAGAAATGTGATGGCTTTTGAGGGAATATTTGTACGATGAGTCAATAAAATGAGATCAGAGATTATGAATAACCACAAAACGCTTTCTAGACTGAGACCCTAAAATCAGGCACAAACTCAGGTCTGTCTTGAGGCTTGAACTGATGGACCCTTGGAATTTCAATACATTGGTTATTTTGGGACAAAGGTGTAAACATAAAAAATGAGTAGTCCTATTTAATAATGGCACAGTATGATGGAAAAGGTTTTGTATCTGATACCATCTGAAATACATCAGAACTACAAAGCCATTCAAGGTTCTTTTATTTTTGTATTTCATTTAAGTCAAAACACTATTGTGTTTTTTAAAGAAGGCAGCCAATATGGACAAAACAGAAATATGAAAAGTATTTCCACAATGGCAGGCCAGTGCTTTCCTCACCTTAGCTTGATGGGGTTTTTTCCAGTTTTTGTGCTTTTCTGTTAACTAAGACTCAACTCCAATACAAAAAAAAAAACAAAACAACTTCCCCAAATAGGAGGCATTTAATAATAACTAGTTTTATAGCTGAGGCCTTTTATTCTTTTCATTTGGTGTTTATTGTAAACAATGGTAGAAACTTAACATTTTAATACATGGAAATATTTTCTTTAAAATGTTCAAAATTTTATATAAAGTTTATGATAAAATACAAGAAAATATGCATTAAAAAATTTTATAAAGTAATACTCTGCGGTAAATTCTGTTCATTGGTTAACAGGCTTCCTTGCAAGACCAGTTTCAATCTTTAATGTAAACATTAGAGGCAAAATTTTCACCTCAGTGAAATCAAAGAGACTTTCACCATTGAATTCATGAGAAAGAAGCATTAACTCTCAATTTCCAGACAGACATAGCCAGTAATGCATATATTAATATTCTTTTTTCAAATTCAGGACTGAAAGACACAAGAGCTCTGTAAACAGTATTCCTTGTTATTACATGACCAATATGAGAAATTAATACGAAATACTTCATGTTTTCAACCACGTTTTCAACCCCAACAGAACCCCAAAGCAGTGCCTCCCATCAGGAATGCAACAATTATATATCTGAAGAATCACTCCAATCTGTTACAGTGACTAAGCTGCTTTTTAACGTGCTTGTATTATCAGCTTCATGAAGGCCTGTTAAAAGAACAAAAAAATATTAACAATTATTAATACTATTTTGGGGGTATTTTTACTTTGTATTTATCTATGAGATAGAATCACATGCTATGTGAGCAAACACCTGTGGACTTCAGGAAGTCCAGAATTTCAACCAGTGAGGAAATTACAAGTGTTGATAATATGAAGGCTGTTCCTGTCACAGAATACAATGCACAGGACAAGCAGTCAGTGTCAATATTACTTTCCCTTTAAAAATAACCTTAAGTATGTTTATGTAACTGACACAGCTTTAACCTTTATGTATATTGAAATGTTAGGGCTAGAAACTACTATATAAGTTCTATGTAAGGTTGAGGCTATTATTTTACCAGTAGTTCAAATATTTATCTCAGCCTGGTAGGTCACTTAGACATCTTGAACAAACCTGAAATTTTATTATTATTCTCAAGACAAAGTAAGAAAGTTTCCCTCCTCCCTTAATTGTGGGAAGGGATTAAAAAAAATCCTGGATGATTAATTTTTAAGATGAGGTTGAAGCCCAATAGTACCGTATGTTTTAAAATCTCAAATTTAACTTTCTTGGCACCTCTGTATATTTATGTGTGTGTGTTGTTTAAGTATGTATCATAAATATCATATATGATATTTACATGACATAAAACCAAGCATACAGTTTTTCTTACTTGTTCTTTTCTTACAAAATACCATATATTGAATTACAATGTGTGATACACTATACTTAAGTTGTCTTCCAGGTTTGTCAGTTGCTTAAGGCTTATAACGCAGAAGTATGAATATGTTACCTTCCTCCTTTGGTACACTTGTCTTCGGAAGACCCCATGCATGTACCACAGATGCAGCATTTGACTCATTTTTCTGAACTGTCAATGCCTTCTGACCTCTACCATCTTTCATCAATAAAAAGTCTTCTTCTACTGATGATATATCCCAATCATCTTCATCAACTTCTGTGAACTAACAGGGAGAAGAAAAAACATGCATTTTTCTTCTGTCCGTTCAAGTTGTGCTGAAATCTTCCATAAACTCAACACTGTAAAACTGCTAAAGAAAAAGGCACTGGCACACAGCCTTTATGACATCTATCACCACAGTTTTAAAATCCACATAATTCAACTACCTAAATTATATTAATTCACTATTATAGTTCCAAAACTAAAAGTGGGGGTTTTTTAAGTCAGGAATTGCAAAAGTTAAAAGTTCTGTCAGTTCTATAACTGGCAGAAACCTATGTTTTCAGGTATTACATGTTTAACTTAAAAAAGGATCGTCTTTTCTGGGATATTAGCTATTCCAATGAGATAGAAAGTCCTTTAGGCATTAGAACATATATTACTTACATGAAAATAAAGACAGGACATGTTATCATGCAAGTTGGCAGTTTAGTTTGCTATACAAGCATTCTGTATTCACAGTAGAAAAATCTAATATTGCAATAAAGGCCTTTTCAACTGAGAACTAATTTATTTAAAGAGAAAATCAAATAATGAAAGTTTAAAAAACCACATGGTGCTCAAAGTTAAAATATGTATTCTTCTTAAGACTCACTGTTAGCATGTACAAGCATATTTTTAATTAAGTGGTGGATTTGCATAATGAGTTCACAAAGTGAGAGTCAAGTCAAACAGACGAACCTGAAGGCAGCGAGTCTATGGTCTTTCTTACCTCATCTGCCCGAGAACTAAATATCTTCATTCAGCTTTTGAAAGAAGAGCTACAGCATTTCCCTATTTGTCAATCAGATGTGGTTCAATGGAATCGAGCCATATTAGAGAGCTTAACTGTGGAAAGTGAAAGACGGTTTCTCACAAAGCTAAAACCTTATTTCACTGGAGTCACTCAATATTACAGCAAGATATAGAAGGTGCTTCTATTGCACAGAGGAAAGATTTCAGATGCTATTAGAAAACAATGTAAGGTATGCACATACTAGAGAAAAATCAACAAATATGAACGTGTCCTGTCTCTCGAAAGAAGGGAAAAAGACTGCAGTAATGCTCTATCTTGCAACATAGTTCAATTTTAACATCGCTGTTAACAATGTTAAACAAACTGTTTTTCAAAAACTGACAGATCTGCTCAGTGTGCTGTATTATTAACATACCAGGATTCAACATTTTGCTATTTTAAATTATCTGCAGTGGGAGGGTGTGGTACTGGGAAAGTCAGAGTCACATATATTGAGAAATGCTGGAGGAAGAGTTTCCTCAAACATTCACTAAGTCCCAACTGATTTCTAAAGTACAAAATACAGAGAAAAATGTCAACTTCAAACAGAATTCAGTTTTGATCAAGTGTAAATACACAGCACCGATCAAAACTGCTAAGCAGTTTTATTAACTCAAAGACTTACTCCAAAGAAATACCATAATCCATACAATGTCTGGTACAGGTGAACTCAGCTAATACAGCTTCAGGTAAGCACAAAATTAATTTTCTCTAAAAAAGTTTCTGAGGTAACTTCTGTGAAACGTGCCCTTCCTCTGGACTCGCTCCAACAGGTCCATGTCTCTCCCATACTGAGGACCCCAGAGCTGGACGCAGTACTGCAGGTGGGGTCTCACCAGAGCGGAGTAGAGGGGCAGAATCCCCTCCCTCGACCTGCTGGCCACGCTGCTTTTGATGCAGCCCAGGATACGGTTGGCTTTCTGGGCTGCGAGCACACACTGCCGGCTTACGTTCAGTTTTTCATCCAATAGTATCCCCAAGTCCTCAATCCCTTCATCCCCTACTCTGTATTGATATTGGGAGACTGCCCCAACCTATGTGCAGGACCTTGCACTTGGCCTTACTGAACTTCCTGAGGTTCGCAGGGGCCCACTCCTCAAGCCTGTCCACGTCCCTCTGGATGGCATCCCATCCCTCAAGTGCATCAAATGTGCCACTCAGCTTCGTGTCATCTGCAAAGTTGCTGAGGGTACATTCAATCCCACTATGTCATTAATAAAGATATTGAACTGTACTGGTCCCAGTACAGACCCTTGAGGGACACCACTCATTACTGGTTTCTACTTGGACATTGAGCCATTGAGTGTAACTCCTTGGACACAGCCATCCAGCCAATTCCTTAGCTATCTAATAGTCCATCCATCAGACCCGTATGTCTCCAATTTAAAGGTAAGAATGTTGTGGGGGACCGTATCAAAGGCCTTACAGAATCCAGGTAGATGAGATCCATAGCTCTTCCCTTGTCCAATGATGCAGTCACTCCATTGTAGAAGGCCACCAGATTAGTCAGGCATGATTTGCCCTTGGTGAAGCCATGTCAGCTGTCTCTAATCACCTGCCTGTCTTCCACATGTTTCGACCTATCTTCTAGGAGGATCTGTTCCATGATCTTACCAGGCACAGAGGTGAGGCTGACTGGCTGGTAGCTCCCAGGGTCCTCCTTTTTACTCTTTTTAAAAATGGGTTTGACGTTTCCCTTTTTTCAGTCAGGGAGTTCTCCTGACTGCCATGACTTTTCAAATATGATGGAGAGTGGCTTGGCAATTACATCAGCCAATTTCCTTAGGACCCTGGGCAGCATCTCATCAGGTCCCATGGACTTATGTATGTTCAGGTTCCTCTGGTGGTCTTGAACCTGATCTTCTCCCACGATGGGAGGGACTTCATTACCCCAGTCCCTGCCTTGAGGTCAGGGGCTTGAGAGATGTGGGAAGAGAGGCTACCAGTGAAAAGTACAGCATCTTTAAAGCACAGATTTTAAGGCTTATTTTGCTACAGCTCTTTGTTCTTGAAGGCCAAATTCCTTAACATAGTGGTCCACCGTCTATAGCTCTTTACAAAATGTAACATCCACTAAATTTAACTGTGAACATTTTGCAGCCTTGTATCATCTGACATTGCAGAGAATTTGAAAGTAATATTTGGACAGAAAATTACACCGTAATAGTCATTTCTGAATTGATAATTTTGAGTCTGGTGTGATTTGCAGCTCCCACAGAGTCAAGTTAGTCAAGACAAGTTAGGTGTCACCAGTGGCAATTAAAAGCACACAGGCTAAATGTGACTACCCTACCATTACAGCTAAAGTTGATTAAGACAATCACCCCTTTCTGGAAACTGAAATATAATTGTCACTGTTTCTGGGAAGACTGATAAATTTCAGATTTAACAGGCAGTCAGGAAGCCCTAAAATATCAGTTTTACTATGGATAACAGGATTCTCAGTAATTATTATTTAATGAAGTGAAAAAATACTTTCTTGAATACTAGAACTAGTATCTGGCCGTCTACTTCAATCTAATAACAACTACTAAAACTGAAATAAAAAGCACTGTCTGTTGTTGACTTTGATTTGGAATAGCTTTTGTTCCTTTTAAAAATTGTTCAGGCAAAGATCAATTTGCATCAAAGTGGCTTACCAATTATAAAACTCTAAACTGAGGGGAAGACTGGGACCTTAGGAGCCTGAGGGGTAAAGAATAAGTTGTGTTAGTATTCTGATTGTGAACACATGCCATACTCAATGGACAGACATCAGTGATAGATCTGATGCAGTCAGAAAACAGCATATGATTGTAAATAGGTGCAGCAGAAGAAAGACCATACTCAAAAAATTGAATTTTTCCCCTCATTAAAATGTATCTGTTCCATATCAGATAAAGCTCTAGAAATAAAAATATCTTAAAATATTAGATAAGCAAATTCATTTTTTCCTCCATCTAACAAGATACTAGGAAAGCAAGTAAAGAAGGGCTTTCTCTATGCTGCTAGCATAGGAGATAAAAATGATACCAATTGTGCCCAAACTTTGGGCTAGCTGTAGTGATCCAAAACAGTCGCGGTATAAGCTAATAAGCATTGCGGATGAAGAGGTCACTTGCCACAGCTCACTTGCCAGCACTTTTCTATATATCAGTGCAGACGTACCCAAAAAGACTACTTAGCTCTGTAATTCCAAAACTCTTTTTCAGAATTAAGTTCTTCACTGCACCAAGATGGTTTCAGCATGAAAAAAAAAGTAACACACATATATATATATTTCGATTACTTAATGAAATAATAATGACTATTAAAAGTGATACCTTCAGTTCTTTCACCTCTTCTTTCTTAATAAATGCTTGCGCAACATTAATCCCTCCAGCTGGTTTATTCTTATTTCCATGGTTAGAAAGACTCTTTCCAACTTGTTCAGTCAGTTTTTGAATAACTGTTCCTAAAGTTCATAAAAAATTATATTGACGGTTTCCATTCACAAGTAAGAGACTTTACTGTAAACCCTCTAGAAATCTTCCACGAAGTAAAAATAAGTAAAAGAAGTCTCGCTGAGGCAGAGATTGTCTCTTTTTCTGCATTTATATAAAACAGCATGATACACATCTAATTTGAACTGACATCTCCAAGTACTATATTAATATAAACACATTAGCAAAAACATAAAGTGCACACAAATATATACTTGAGACTAGATAGTCTGCCTTCATTATGTTTTCTAACACAGAAATATATCAGGAAATGCAAAATCATGCATAGCTGTTACAACATGCATATACAAAAGTAGTGAAAAGACCTTTTGAAGTTTTGGCAGGTGTTCCAGTTTCTTCAGTTCCACTTTCCTCCGTCCCATCCATATCGCTTTTGCCAGAAGCCTTCTGAAAAGCACTGACTTTGTTGCTTGATGTTTTTGACTGCTTTTTCAATAATTCTGGTGATATGTAAGACTGTTCAATATCATCTTCATCTACTTCTTCCTCTGAACTGAATGGTGGAGTTCTAAGCAAAAACACATACAGTCTAAGGACTTACTGCATTTCAGTGACTGCACTGCTATAGACGTATTTAAGCTTCCTTGTATTTTCCTTTCCAATAATGTGCATTTTTCCTATGTGAAAAAACCAGGAGCTCCCATAAATTCTAACTATCCATAAAACTATTTAAAAGAAATCACGCTGCTAAGTAAACTCAGGAAGTTATCACAAAATGATCTCTTATATAGACATGACTATTTCCCATCTATGCAACTACCTTTACAAAACATCAGACCAATATATAACAAGTCTTGCCAGGCAAACAAAGATAGGCTTTCATGGATCAGCAGGGAGAGCAAAGTTCAGGGTCAAGGAATCTGCACCACAGAAAGTCTGTTCTGACATTTTGTTAGATGAAAATAACTTAGGAACTTTTCAGTGCAGGAAATTACAAAGTACCTGATGTGAGTGGAATCCGGAATATTGTGTTTAATTTTGGTCATAGTAAGAAAATATCGATACACTGAAAATTAGGTCACCAAAGTATTTAGCTGCTTTTAACTGGGTCAGAAAAAGCATCTGAGAAAGAAACTAAAGGAAGTCCCTCTCTTGTTCACAACAAAGAATACATCTGCTGAAAGGAAAACATGCTATCTTTCAGGGATTATAACAACACACTCAAATGGAATAATACTTTAAAATAAAATATGAAATACGCAGTCCAGAAAGTGTTTATAATTTTAGCTTAATAATAGCTTTTGTGTGGCAAGCATGTGAATATTCAGTCACCAGAAATATTTTCTTCAAAAATACAAGGGAACAAATCATACGTGATGCTAGATGTCTTCCTGGAACCTCCATTTCCAAAAAGCTTCCTGGATCTAAAAATAACAAGACAAGTTATTTCAAGACTGACAGTCAACTAAGTAAGCATAAAGTTTATATAGAAGTAATGTGAATTCTTTGCTCAGTTCTTACAATATTAGCAGGAAATGTTCACGTCAGTCACAAAAACCCAAACCCATATGAGTACTATGAGAAAAGCATCTCTTACTTTGGTGTAGATGTATTCTCAGTGATGGTGGTTCTTTGTTCAGCTGGGCGGACAGCTGTTGAAGACCGTTTTACTGGTTTTCGTGGTGTGGCAAATGATGAAATTCCCAATTGATTGAACTTCTGTTTATCTACAAGAGATGTTATCTATCTCATTACTAGAAGCAATGTTTGGTATCTTTTGTATTTAATTTCTAAAATTAAAGATGTCTCTGCTGTAGATTATAGTTTTACAAAAGAGAAGAAAAAAAAAGTATTTTTTTTCTTCAAAGCAGTTCAGAGTTACCATGTATCTTGCCAATATAGGAGCTAAGATTTCTGCAGTTAAACACAATGTCAAGAACCCTTTAAAGGAAACTGTTTAGTTGGCCACAACTATATAGAATATTTGTATGAAAAGTTATGAAAGCAGCTATAGAGAAACGTTGCTAAATAAAACCTTAAATAGCACTTATAAAATGTAAGAGAATGAACAAAAACCAAAACCATTTTAAACCTTCTGAAGGAAGCTGAGGACAGGAAACAGGTCTATTACAAGATGATGATTTCTCTTCAACCCTAAAGCTAACTTGGCGTTCAAGATGCTCTCGAATTCGGTGAATGTCAGGCTCTTGCTTCTGTTTGCATTCTCTAGCAGATTCAATAGCACGCAAAATTTTATTTAAGTGATCATTTGGGATACCGCGAACACCCTAAGGAAACAAATAGTATTGTAAACACAGGGGTTATTATTTCTGGGATTTATATCCTACAATCATATACACTCTTTTAAACTTCGAATATCACAAAGCTTGTAGAAAAATCACAGAAGTTGGTAACACTGCCCACAGGTATAGCCATATCCTCCACAGCTGTAATTTGATGGACATCCTCTCAGGTTAATGAATTGCACTTATTTATAACATGTGGAAATTCAGCTTTGGATTTTATAGGTTGAGGGTTGTGGTACAAGACTGAAAGAGAATAGCAACAAAGTGCGACAAAGATTATCCCTCTTTTAAATAACTCAAAATAATCTTACTGCTTTAATTCCCAAGGATTCCAGCTTCTCCTCCAGGGCTTGCTCCAAAACAACTCGTAATTCTTTAGTTAAAGAAGGATCAGTCTTCAAAGCATTTATTAAATAGTGGTTACTTCTACCTGTTTTATGATCACCTTTCTCAATTTCTGAAATAAGAATGGAAAAATGCATTTCAGAGACATTTGAAAAATCCACAGTACATGAGACAATTAAAAACTGCACTGAAGCATGCATTTTTTAGAAACAACATAGACAGCCATGTGCGCTTTTTGTCTATATGGAATTGTATTCTTTTTAAAATCTTGGGCTAGCTTACAAAAGTCAGCCCACTTGGAATCTATAGCTCAGCACCTTGTACTCACCATCACAAGTATCTTCTATTTTTCTTGTTACAGAATCACTGTAAAGATACATGCCTGAATATCTAGCAACAAAGGTCTCTGCTTTTAGAACTGTACTTGGAAACTTCTGATAAAGAAAGACTATCTTCTGATAATTAAGTTCTCTAAAAGTGGTATTTCAAATCAAAGCTGAACTCTAGCAGGAATTAGAACAGGTATATGACAAACTTTTTCTCAAGAAAAGCTTAAAACAACGTAATGTTCTCTGATAAAAAACACCCACTGAAATCAAATCTTTGGGAAGTTTTAACAGTTTCAAAAGTCTTGGTAAAGACAAAACCTTAGTCTGAGGCAGACAGTTTCACAGAAAATACATGACGGATAATACTTATATCAAAACTCTTTCAAGGACAAAGTTCAGTGTCGTGTTTTCTTTTATGCAGGTCTATGACACCATACATACTTAAAAGCAGACAAAGAAGTTTCCCTGCTTTAAGTGTCTCTTTCCCTTGCTTTAAGCGTCAGTAATGACATGAACTCTTATGCAAGAAATAAAGAATCATCTAGACAAATTCTTCCATCTAAATTAAAGACTGACATTTAAATTAGGCCAAAGTATTATAGGGTCATACAGAGGAGTAAAGAAGCAAAACATACCCATTTGGAACCTGCCTATAACGTGTCCCTGGCAAGATGAAATTTTACTGAATGCCACTTCTACCAAGAGAACCAATACTCTGTGGGACCACAGTAGCTGCTCCTGTCTGGCAGTGGTCAGCAAAGCTGGCAAAGCATACACAGAGGGGTATACAACATTCCAAGAAAGCATGCTGGAAACCACACTCCCAACTTTGTCCCCTGAAATAAAAGCTAAATGTTGGGCAGGAGTTTGTCTCTGTCCAGTATGCCTTACAGGGCAGCAGAGTCATTTTCCAGCCCACAGACAACGACATAAATGAAGGAGTAATTCCATACTGTGACTTTCAAATTAAAAGTGCCACTTCTCCTATTTTTAAACAATGATTGCTTAAAAAGCAGTTCCATTTACTTTTCATTTTTCTTTAAGGGAAATACAAGCACCCTGAAGAGGTGCCTCAAAAAAGCCTCAAGATACACAAATGATATTTAGGTTGTTTTGAGAGTGGCCTCCGATGGATCCTGGAAAGAACTGTAGGTAATGAAAACTTTCTGAGAAAGAGTCCAGCTACCATACTAACAGATCTGTGTTGAAGAGGACAGAATCTGGCTGAAATCTTATCTGGCTTGGAGATCTGTGTGGACAACTCAGTCCCTGACAGAGGTGGGATCAAAAATGATTCAGCTGGAGAGCTGAGTCCTAGAAGAGGCAAGCTACTGGTCGGTGAGGAAACACAGCGCTATCAGACTATCCCCAGTCAGGAAAAGGTGCATTATGCAGTATGAAATCCTTCCAGAAAGCTAGACATGAGACATTTTAAAGTGGAAGGCTCCAAGGAGCCTTCTGAAAATCCTGTCCCTTTCAGATGTTAATCCTTACAATAAAACAGATTCATCTAAAATAATTTTTAAATTCATAATGACTAGATACTAATATGGGTAACAAGACTATCCAGCATTATCCTAATTAATGACAGTATTAATTCTTGCTAATTAACTCAAGATAAATCCTCTTTGCCAGAGACAACTATTTAAGGAACTGTTTTCTTATTCATTTTTGTTTTTTTAAAAAAAAACCCTAAATACTAGATTTAACAACTTTGGAGACAATAGACCTTAAGTCTGGTCCACTGTCTCAGCTCCTACATAATCCTATGAAATAATGTGCCAAGTCAAGAATTTTCACACTCTCCCTTACAAATGACTGCCACCGAAAACAAAAAAATCTTGGTCTATCTTTTCAGACCACATTCTTTCTTTCTCTCTTTTGTACTGCAGGCCATGCCTTTAGGCACAGCAGAAGAATCAAAGACAATCCATCAAGAGAGAAGACGGCAAGCAAGAGAAACAGCAGAAAGAACGGCAAAAATGCAAGCAGTCTTTATTTCAGATTGTTCAGAGTCACTGGATTTTCCCTGGGGAAACCTCTCGCTTATGCACAGATGTACTCAAGCAACAATTTTGTTTTCAAAACAGCATCATTCCTTCAAAATTTAAACTCATTGGCTATAAAGTTCAAGACTGATTTTGATTTTTGCCCACAGTACAGATTATTATGCTATTCAGCTATTTGGCATTTAACCTGAAGTACTGTTAGCCTTCTTCAGGAGAATACCATGCAGGATGAACCAACGCTTTCTGTTCTGTCACTGTAAATGTGGCCTTCTCCAAGTTTTCTTCAGATGGAGCAGAAGAACAGCTGCCAACACTGGGATACATAATTTCATTCAGAATTGCACAACTCTGGCTGGAGCTGTGGCTGCTTAGAAGTAGGTGTAACTTAGATTACTTGCAGAAGTATCTTTGGTGCATTTATGAAAGCAGGCAGCTTCAACCTCCACCACCAACTGCCTTCTATCTGAACTCTTTATCCTCTTATGCAGAGTTTGAAAAAGAAGTGAGCACACATTGCAATAGCATCAGCACTAAAAATTTCCTAGTAAGGGGGTATTCCCCATAAAACATTTTTGCTCTGCTTAGCTCAAGTGCCTTTAGACATATGGAATATGCCTGCTTTAAAGAGTTAGCCAGATTTTCACAAAAACATTGCACTTGGCTAGGGAAATCATAATATTTACAAGCACCAATAGCAAACAGGAGACTGACACAAACAAGGAATGTTCCCACCCAAATCACATAAGCATACCGCAATACAATGAAAAATACTGTAGGTATCAAATAATATTTACTTTTTATTTTCAAGAAACACATGCCACTGTATTTTGAGCTGAATCAACCATTACCTTTTTCCTCTTCTGAAAGCTCCTCTATGGGCTCCAGCATATGCACCAAGGGTGCCTGCTCTAATAACGAGGAAGAACAGGAACACCAGACAAACAGGACAGAAGAAGGTCAAGGTCCAGAGCGGGAAGTTAGGCAAAAAAAATACACTGATGTCAACTTTCCTGATTGCTGACAACCTGCTTAACAATCACAAACCCAATGCAGCATGCCTCTTCACTGCCTTGCTGGTACATTTTTGTAGAGGACACCCTAATACAATAGTCACTTCAGGAGTGATTCAGTTGCCCAAACATGGGTGTCTAGTGTCATCTCAGATATATCAGAGTTTTAAGCCATCAGCACAGGGATGGCTGATACGTCGCAGAACTATAGAAAAACCCATGCCCTTCTGGAATGGCAGGCAGAGGCCAGGTGGGATGTTTTTAGGCACCTACAATGACAAGGCCACCTAGGATTAAGTAAATGAATACTGTCATTCATTTCTCATAAGAAGCATTTTCATTTTTAAATTTATTTAAAAATAGTTTATGTGCAATTTGATACTAAAAGTTTACAAAAGGCAAGTGAAATGGTCAGACATAGAAATCCTCAAAAATATATGGAAAAAATGTTAACTCATTATTCCAGAGAATTATTAATTACTGAGTCCATATATGCAAGACAGAAATTTTATATATATATAGATAGATAGATATGATAATTTCCAATAAAACCAATTTAAAAAATCTTCAAGCGCTCCAATACAGTGAGATTCAGTATTATCATGTGCTTTAAAGAAATCTTGAAATGTCCTCTGCTGAAAACAGCTTCCTAAACACATTGAAATTATCATTCTGTAGGCTGTCAGGTACAATTTGCTTTATATAAATGAAGCCAAGTACAGTTTATTTACAACTTTATAGACTTCAGATATGAGATGCATGAAAATGCTTATATGTAGACTATTAAAAATTCAGGTTTTTAAAATGTTAATATTTACCTTCCATAAATTAACTTATTTTAATGAAAACTAGAACTTGAGTTTCTTCTAGGGTTTCCGATAAAAACAGAGATGTGCAAACTATACTTTAAATATTCAACTACTGGCAGTATAGGAGAAAACAATTTATTGGCCAATATTTTGGGCCAACATACATTTGCCCCAACCTTCACAAGAAACCTTTGGCACTATAAATGGTTGTTACACTGTATAGGTAGAAGGGGAGGAAGTGACGCTGCATTAAAGATTTCTGCTCTTCAGCACTTCTTGTACAATTAGGTACAACCATGGATGCACTGTGATGGGTAAACACAATGAAATGAGCACTTGGAGCTAAGTGACACTTACTGTCATATCTCCAATATTCCCCATGTGAAGGGGACTAAAACTGGTGGTGTAAATACTTGGTTATGGCAGCTGCTCTCTCCATGCTTTCCATACTTGTGACTATATTCAGCCTCACACCTGCTTTTCCAAGGCCGTTATCAGACTTTAAGATTTGCTCCCATATAACTTGCACTAAATAAGAAGTTCTAAAAAAATGTTTCTTATACCATCACAAGATGCTAACAAGATGCAAATGTCAATATATGTTATGGAAACACTTAAAAGCAAAACTCTGAGAGACAAATAGGCTTCTGGTCTTTCAGTCTCTAAGGCTGTAAGATTTAACAGTGGCCAGAGAATTCTTGGGCACCAGAACATGATCCTCCACACTACTGCTCCTGGCACCCTGTTGCCCTGCACCAACTAACGTTCTCCAAAACAATGTTCAGGCACAGTTTGGGATCATTCCCAAAAGCCTGCAGTGAGCCTGTTTTGGAGGACAGAGCCTGAAGCACGGATGAGATGTTCTGGGGGGATTTAATTCAGCTGCATGGGCATTGAGGTGTCTGAATTTTTTGGCTGTACCTACTAGCCAGTAAGCCAGTTGCTGTGTATTTGG